ATGATCATTTCCAAAGTTGAACCGTGGACGTGGTACATTCCCAAACGTTTCGCCGGCATCGTAGTCGAGTCTAAGGATTGGCCTACGTTGCTCTTTGACGAGTTGTTGTGTGGTGCTAAGAATGGCGATACTCACTGACGATGCCGACTACGATGCCGGCAAAACTTTTGGCAATGTACCACGTCCACGGTTCAACTTTGGAAATGATCATGCAGACAATGGACCCTGCAATAGGTGCGTTCCGCTAAGTCTTCCTGCCAATATGATCATGTTGCGCAAACGACGTAGTCTATAGTCTGATTTTCAATTCCAAAATGAGCTTTCTTCTGTACCATTCCAGATTATTTTCGCCAATTCGTTCCATAACAATAGGATAAATCATCACATAATATCACTGAATAAAATGATTTTTTCAAAAAATATTTCGTCAATGCTTGCTAAATTCTTAATTTAAATTATGCTGTATTGCACATAGTATCAATAAAATAACAACCGTCCCTTTTTAAAATTTAGCTTAAATATCGTCCGCTTAATTCGGATGACCAGAAAGGTGATTTAGGTGATGCTGTATTCGGTCCCATTGATAGAAGCCAGACCAAGCTCATAGAGAAACGACTTCGTGCCGAGGCCGTGCAAAAGGAGCTGATGGCTGCTTGGACGAATAAAGCGAAGGCACTGAAGGAGGCTCGAGTCCAACAGCAGAAGGAGGAGGAGGCAATGTTGGCAAAGGCTAAAGAAAGGTAGGAAAGATAAAAACGTTATTTGCCCGATTTACTCTCGCCCTCAGTCCTGTTCTCTAAACAACATTATCGAATAGGTGAACACCAAATGACCCCCGATAAATTCATCAATTTAACGTATGGAAGTGCCAAAATCCCATGTTAATAGGCACCATCTGGACGGTCTTTTAGTTATTATTTTTCCATCCTTACTACACATGTTCACTCCAACTTTACCTGTCGCCCTAATAACCCTCTTTTGCCTTGTTTAAATGTATTAGTTTAAATGAAGAACGCGCCCGCCAATTCGCCAAGCAGCTTGCGGCCAGACGTCATCTGGAGATGGCTTGGTTGGCCGCGATGCAGGAGCACAGGTCCCATCGGGCAGATCAGGCCCGAGCGAATTGGCGAAGCGAGGCCGATTGTGTCCTGCTGCATGATCAATGTGCTGATTATGTCAGATGCAAACAATGCCAACGGCGTCTTGATAATGTTGGGCAGTCAAACTTGTTCAAGGATAGCTTCTTTGCCCCAGGAACTCGATATATCTGCTAACAGGAGTACCCTACTGCGGCACTGGTTTTTTCCTATTTCTCCTCTCCATCATTCCTTCCTCTCCTTACTCTTCCTCG